GTCCTGTGGGAGCTTCCTCGAAGGAATGCATATTGCCTACAGACTTTCATGCGTCAATTTTAAACTAAGAAATTTGTATTATTTTGATGAAAGGGGACAGAGTTAAAGCGGTTTGGTCAAACCTTGTAATTGTCTGTGCACAGTCTTGTGTAACATTGCAAGATTTCCATCTCCAGATCTTTATCTTCTACCACTTATTTGTAGTCAGGCTACAGAGGCAACCCAGACCTCCCKTTCCCAAGTGAAACTCCACCTGGGGAACCCCGAGGCATTCCTAATCCAGAGAAGATAATCCCTCCAGAGAGTGGGTCTGCTCTGCATTCTCTTTCCTCTTGTTGTGAGACACAGTACTGTAGGATATTGTGAGATTAAATACAGCATATGTTAAGGGATCTCAGCTAATACCACATCAAAGTTTAGTAAAATACCTAAGAAACTGATTGCGTTAGTAATTCTTGTGTTGCCCAAGATTCAGCCATCTTGAATTGGATTAACCCTAAAAGTTAATGAGTTGCAGGTTTACATCCGGTGATTACTTTCTAAGAGTGTGATTAAAAGGCCTCTCCTGGTTCATCAACTATTTTGTAAACACCACAGACGAAGGCACATGAGTAAAAACATTATATCCCTGTTTAAATGTAGCTATAGGTCTTTGCAATGCTTCATTTTTAATAACACAATTCTTAGTAGCATTTACTTTGGGGGGTCACTTAATGTGTGTACGGTTTTCATTTAGGGCTGCCACGATTAGTCGACTACTCATGATTATTGTCGACGATTAAAATCGTCGACTAATTTAATAGTTGATGCATTTTTTTCCTAACTTTGTTTTTCCGTCATAACTGCTGCGGCACCTTCCTCTGCTGTGATTTTCTGTCCTTGACACACATGCGCAGTAGTGGTAATTAAGGCTGCTACAAACAATTATTTTTAAAAAATACAATTACAAAGTTAGAAAAAAACATGATGCATCGACTATTAAATTAGTCGTTGACGATTTTAATTGTTGACATAATCGTGACTAGTCGACTAATCGTGGCAGCCCTATTTTCATTAATTATTCTCATTTATTTTTGATAAGTCACAAGACTGATCAGTTAAAAGTTAAACATTGACAAACATTACATAATTTGTATTATTTTTATATGGTACAACTACAGGGATCAGACAAAAATAGTCAAAAGGATGTTTACGTA